GCAACCATTTACATCTTAAATAACTATGTGACTTGACTTGATGTATGATGAATATGTATTTCTCCAGTCTTGAATGTTTCACACTTGGGTTTATAAATTGCCAGTGCCTTAAGAGGTTTGCATACAATTGACCCTCTGATAAGAAATCTTTTGTCTATATCCAGATTTTATTGGATAAGGATAACATATCGTATCATAACATACTCTCCTTTTTATACATCATCTCATATTATATACACCTTTCATAATGAATCCTACAATTTTCAATGTTCAATTAATTCCAGCTAACATATGCCTATGTCCAGGAAGGAGTCTGATTAACAAAATTTCATCACCTTTTTTCCATTTGTGGACTATACAGCCTCTTCTAGGTTTCACTGAAAGTCCAGTTTTATGTGAAAACTGTAAAGGATGTTGCAGTAACCATAATCTGTTCCACTATATCACACTTCAGAATAAAGATTGCTGTACAATCATAGCTAATGAGCATATTTTGAACCCACAGTCCTGGACATGTGTATGAAAATGTAAGTTGTCTGTTGGCCTTGCCCAGATAAGTGTGTATGTAGAACCTATATACAGTAAGACACATAATGCGAGAATTACATGATAATTACAATCATGTATCAACCAATCAGGTGCCACATTATCGATATCAAACTGACAAGACCTGACTCCTTCCTGCAACAGCAAGAGATCCAAAAGTAGCACAGTCCATATTGGCCTTAGTGATTGATTTTTAATCAGAACTATGTTTTTGCTATCAACATCTTGGTCCAGAGGTTGTTACACTAACACTGTAAAATTGTAAAGGAAATAATCAATTACCTCGCTGGATTTCACTTATTCATTCATTTAATGTGAATTTAAAAACCGGATTCCATTGCAACACCACTTGTGGAAGATCTTAATACACTGAGTCTAAGACTTATCAAAAATGTTATTAAATCACAGTGCTACCTGAGGTCAAAGCTTGAAGGCCATTTAATAGAAGTACAGTTCAACTTGGAGCCATTCCCAATTGTTTGAAAAGATGGCATTGTCGACCCTACACTGCAGATAAACACCTCATTTGAAATTGTTTTCAGGACTAATTTCACAGGACAATCCGAATTATTCTTTTTTAAGTCACTAGGTAACCCCCCAACCCAAAACAAGACTACACTTTAAAATATGAAAAGCTGCACTGCAGTGAATATATAATGCCTGCTTATCATATGTATTTTATTTTTATGCTTAAGATTTAGCTATGATATCGAGACCATGAACCCTGTTCTTTCTTAAGTGTAGCACAGCTTATTTTTAATCATTTCAAGAACACGCTTTTAATCCAACTAATATCAGAAAGCCACTCATTGTTGGTAATAGGGGTAGAAGCCTATCCCACAAGAATGGAGTGCAGGGCAGGATTACACCCTACTGATGGACAGTAGCCAGTCCATCACAGGGCACACACAGATAAGAGACACAAATTAACCTAGCCAGCGTTCAGACCACCCAGGTAAAAACCCACATGAACACAGGACCGTGTGCTGTAGGAGGCACTGTTCTTCTGACACAACATTTAACCAAAGTCCTGATTACTAGGTAATAAAGATCACATGGCACTGTTTGTAACAGTAGGGATGTTATCCCTAGCCTGGCTAAATTCTACTCTGGGCTGGTGTGATCTGACCTCCCAAGACTTGCTTCTCAATGCACCTGGTGAGATAACATCTCTCGTCTTCAGCTGATCTGCTGTGTAGTGGGGCTATGAAGGCAGCGCATCTCCCTTGTGGATGTTACACATCAGTGTTGGATGGAGCCTGACCCCACCTATGTGTAAAGTACAGTCTTATAATTTTCATGCAAACTCCACACAGAAGGCATCTCACCTCAGAATTAAATCCAGGACCAATTAGCTTTGAGACAATAGTGCTAATGGCCATGCTACCCAGCATGCTTCTCATTGAGGTGTTAATCAAGCATACATTGTGCCCCTATCCATGTACAGAAGACATATTTTGCATCACAGGCTTCATCTTAAAATGTGAATATTTTTAAATAAACTGAACTTGGACACTTATGTTCATTACTTGCATGGCAGCTTGGCCATAGGTGCCTTAAATGATTCATGTCTGAGGTCCATTCAAACAGTGCACATGAGTAATGGCGTTTAAAGCTTGGAATAAAAACATTCATTTCAAAAGTTTATATTTACAAAAGAGGATTTAGTGACACTCTTCTAAGTAAGATTAGAAGTATGCATTTTTTAAGCCAACTTTCCCTATGGCTTGTCCTAACAGAGAATAAATTATGAAGACATAACAGGGTGTGTCTCCTTGTTTATGCCATTAACATAACTGCAAATCCAAAATTAACATCCCTGTATATACAGTACATACACACTGTTGACTGCAGTATACATAAGCCTTCATTTCTATATAGGTACACATAAGCGAGCCAAAATGCCTTTAAAAGCACAGCGTGACCATCTTTTCTTTTTCTCTCTCCAATTTTCAGAGAGGATATGAAGAAACCTCTTTCCAAACAGCTATCACTGCAGATTTTGTGTGAAAAGTGTAATTGTAATTCACCATGAGGGTCTATCAGATGTTCTGGAGTTTAGCAAAACTCGCTTTTCATATGGGAAAACTGCCAAGTGCTGTGATATCTCCAGCAAGCTTTTTGATACAGAGATCAGAGCCAAGACAGCATCTGCCTAGATATGCAAATTGGCAATTAATAGAATAACATTCCATGAAAGAAAAAAAAATCAACGTGAAAACTATATTACCTGAGAGCTGAACTCACTCGTGTAAAATATATTCAATTCTTCAACATTATATGGAATACAAAACCAAACTCAAGAACATGAAAACGTTTCAAAGGGATATTGAGAGAAAAAAGCAAGAATATTTTCACAGAAGACTACAATACGACGTGAATTCCGGGCACGCTAAATGTTTAAGATGTCAAACAAAATCAAATAAGCACTGTGCAACTAAATAAAAGACCTCCCTTTAACATAAAAATGCTTATACACTTGAGAACTTCTAATTTGCAATGCTATCTTACATACAGTATATTATTAATTCATTTTATGCGTTGTGTCTATGTACGTATGGTCTTTGTGAAATACACACAGCAAATATTAAAATGATGGTAATAGGAAATGCCTTTCAATAATATTGTAATGATTCATGTCCTGGAAAATAAGAGGACAAACCAGATCTTCACCTGTCAAACCCGATTAACCATTATTAGTGACAGTTAAATGTAAAGGAAATATAGGTCCGTTGAATAAAATATATTGGGATGAAATATTAAAAGCACGCTACGTCTCTGCCTTTTATGCCCCCTTTTCAGATTTGCAGCTACTAATTTTGTATTTCATACCGGTACCCTGCAACCCAATAATTTGATGGAGATTATATAAAACATGAATTAATATCTTTGTATGTTAATAAATATCTAGCGGTGTGAAAAGTTCGTTAGGCTTTATTTACCTAATATTAAGGTCTGTCTGATTTTCCGGCGTTTTTACTATTTTTTACATGCCTTATGTTTATAGTAGCTACTAGTATTAAGTGGTATGTTGTAAAACACTGCACAAAATAGGTGAGGTCGGCTAAGCACTTTACATTAAAGCATATGTAGTACATTCATATGCCCTTTTGAGTACAGTACATATTTCATATTCCTATATATTAATTAAGGCTAGAGAGAAATCCTACCAGATCTGTCAGAAATTAGCGTGATCCTGACACTACGACAAACATCAATTTGCATTCAGAATAGCGCAAGTTACACAGGAATGCAGGCAAGTATTTTGACAGCAACGCGCACACGAATATGTGGAACACACACAAAATAATCCTTTCTACATTGATTTGGAATTACTACAGTTATGTAACAATAATTTTACGCGACTTATTAATCAATTTGTATTTATAAAATTGCATAATGCTATTTATTTCCATATT